CTTTCTATTTCTTACCTTTTGCCTATAAATAGCCCTCATTATCTTCATTTAAGAGCTGCTCTTAACTTAAAAATTTCAGCTCATTCTCCTTTCATCTTTCTTTCTTTCTTTTCAAGCTATATTTTAAGACGAGAAAATTATACTTTTAATCCAAGCATTTTACATATTTGCAATATTAACTATTAGATTTAGAAGCTTCCAACACATTCATTCAAGAAATTTCTCTTGAAAACTTTTAGTTTGATTTTTTAATCCAAATTTCTTTTTGTTGATATTTCGTTTGTAATTTTATTTTTTTCTTAAAAAACTTTATTTTTGAGTGAAAATACTATTTGAGAATCTTATATTAAGTTTTCAATATTTAAAATTCCTTCATCCATACAATTAGCAAGCTTTTTTTTTTTGCATTGATTTATTTTTAAAATATAATATACATTTGAAAGTATTATATGTCAAAATTTTAATTTAATATATCTACTTTTATGATTTAAAAAGTATTTTTAATTAATACTTAAAATAATATAATATAAAATAAAAATATATTTTATAGTGAGCAAATTTTATATTTCATTTACAAGTGGTACATTATAAAATCACCTTAAATTAGGGATGTCAATATTGAACACGACCCAAAAACCCGACTCGAACCTGACACGAAAATTTCGGGTTCGAGTCAACCCAAACCCAAACGGGTCAGGTTTGGGTCTTGATTTTCGACCCGTTTGGAATTTCGGGTCGGATTCAGGTTGACTAGAAACTCGAGCATGACCCAGTTTTGACCCGGAATACTGTAGCTCAGCCTATTTATGGGATTTGGCTGAAGAAGCGAGTGAGCTCCCATCATTGCTTCTGATCAAAATGTTGCAACTTCCGATCAAATCTCAAGGGAAGTCCAAGGAGCGAAGTTGAACAACAGCGAAGGAGTCGGGAAAGCCGGCCAATTGACATGAAAGGGAGAATGTTACCTTCACACCGAGCGAACTCCCTTCGTTGCTTCCGATTAAAACGTTAAAACTTTCGATTCGATTGCAAGGGAACGCCGTCCAAGGAGCGATGTCGAACATAAATGAAGGAGCTGGGCCAGCCGGCCAATTGACACAAAAGGAGAAAGTTACCTTCACATCGAGTGAACTCCCGTCGTTGCTTCCGATCAAAATGTTGAAACTTCCGATCCGATCGCAAGGGAATGTGGAACGCTGTCCAAGGAGCGACGTCGAACATCAACGAAGGTTGAAGGAGTCGGGCTAGCCGGCCAAGTGACACGAAAGGGAGAAAGTTACCTTCACACCGAGGGAACTTCCATCGTTGCTTCTGATCTGATGGGAAAGAGAGAAATCGAAAAGCAACTTAGGAGCGAAGTCGAACAACAGGTCGGGTTCAGGTCAACCCAAACCCGAAGCGGGTCGAGTTCGGGTCCAAGAAATTGACCCGTTTGCAAAAATGGGTCGGATTCAAGTCGGGTCGAGCAGTGCCGGGTAAATTCCGGGTTTGATCTGAATGCGACCCGTGACTCGAAATGACACCCCTACCTTAAATATTTTAGTCATTTGATTATAAGCTAATTTGAGCTCGTATTTTGTATAATAAATTTTATTTTTTTTTCTTTTTTCTTAAACTAAGCTATTTGGCTTAATGAAATTCATGTTATATTTAGATTGGGTTTACTCACCCGTGTAAGAGAATATTTAGGATGTTAGATATTTCTTTGATTTAAAGAAGTGAGGTGATGTAGCACATCGATTTGATCAAAAATAGGAAGTTGAAGGTTCAATCAGAAGAGCCTAGAAGATTTTAAAGCAAGAGCTCAACAAAGGTTCTTTATAAGAGCTTACTCATAAAGATTTCTTCGATTTGTTATCTTTTATCTTTATCATTCTTCATCTTAAATCATATTCTAAATCTCTTGAACATCTTCTCCTACCATCGAGTTGAGTTTAGTTCTGGAATTCCGGCCTGTTTGAGTTGTAATATTTAAATTTCAAATTTAGCAACCAAAGGATTTAACTTTCTTAGGAAATATAAATTGGCTAGCCATTTAATGAAGATAAGACGAATTAATGAAAGTGGTGACACATTCTTCAATTAATCGCCAGCTTCTCCCTTTCCCTCTAGTATTTCTCTACTATATATATATTTTTTAATTATGGTAGTTATCATAAGTTTATAAATAGTGTTGGTATGCAATGAGAATTTTTTACCTTTTTAAATCATAAGAAAACTTTGAAAAAAATTATTCTCTTTTGATTAGTATTTAATGGCATACCTTGACTAATCTCGATGGAATCGATTTGTTATCTTTTATCTTTATCATTCTTCATCTTAAATCATATTCTAAATCTCTCGAACATCTTCTCCTACCATCGAGTTGAGTTTAGTTCTGGAATTCCGGCCTGTTTATTAAATGAGTCAGGTTTAGGTTAACCCGCTAACCCAATTTTGACTTGAAATGATCCATTTAAAATATTTTAGTCTTAAATTTTTTATTTGTTGATATAATTATATTATTTTAATTACTTAATTTAAAATATATTGTTAAAAAGTAAAAAAAAAAATCAAAACGGATTTTTGGGTCGTGTTCGGGTCATTCGAGTTACTAGCAGATCAGGTTCGAGGTGAATTGATTTTGGGTCGAACCCCAACCCGGCTTGTCGACCCATTTTGACATCCCTACTTTTAATATATTAATTGCATAATCATTAAGGATAATGAAAATCTATGTTACAATTAACGAGTTTAGGTTAAAATCCTATTATATTGGATTAGTAAGTTGTTTGCATATTTATATTTATATTATATGATATGCTTTTGATTAAAATAAAATTCATTATAAATTTTTTGAAATATTAGTTGTTTCCTTACTTGTGTAATGTAAGAATCACCCTGAACTAGTAAGAGATTATGGATGAGTGAATGAATCAAAGAGATATCATTGTAAAACTTTTTTGAAGTTTTTATGAAGAAAAAAATGTGTTCTTCAAAATCTCTATCATTAAAAGACTTATATTTGGCTAGTCCTATTATACTAATATATTTTCAAGCAATATAATAAAAATAGGATCAATTATAAGAAAATTCCATGGATGCAATATATAAATGATGAAGCGACCAAAATTATAGTTTTTTTGACAAAAAAATTAAGGACCCAAGGACCAAAGAAATGAAGCTCTACGAAAAGATGACTCATACTCAATAAGAGGCCTATAACACTGAAGCACTATATTATGTAGAGTTTAATTAGCACCAATGACACCACATATCCTGCCCTAAGGTGCCACTTTACGAAACGCCGAGGTGCTGCGATCCTTTCAACACTTAGGCATCATTATTCTGAATAAATTATATAGCATGTGGCGCACAGACAAGACTCATAGCACCTAGGAAATTAGGGTTTTGGAGAGATGTTGCAAAAGAGTTTATCCCAAATTTATGAAAGGTCTAGCATTTATAATATGCATATCTATAAGTTAATTTAATGTTAAAACACCCATTATTATATGAAGCTACTTGCAACTTTTCTCAAATATAGGGGGTAAGTACCACCCCTAATCCCTTCTTAGTTTCACCATTGGCTTAAATGATGTTGTAGTGATCATTGGAATACTTGATCATGTACTTTTAGCGAAGAGTAGAATATGTATTTTATTTTTAATATTTAAATTACTCTCATTTAAGCATTGATTTATTTGCACAATCATATATTTTTTTTGGAATTAAACTTCCATTTTTGTTTGTGAAATTCAAATTCTAAGCTTATGAATTGAGTTAACTATTTTTCAAGTGCTTCTATTCGAACAAATACTTTATTATTCTTTTATCCATACATTCTAATTAAGGCTTCATTTGAAATATCTTTCTTACTGCTTTTTAAAATAATGCTTTAGTATAAAAATTCACTAAAAATTGCTAATTCAATTTTTTTTTAAAATAAAAATATGCTTTTGAAAATAGTAAGAAAATTGTCCCAAATAAAACATAAGTTGATTGTCCCACTATTAATAGAATTGAATAAATCGATTACCAGTGTGAGCTCTAATATTTTTAAGTGTAATCAATTTTATTGTGGAATATACTTGGCACACATTTATATTAATTTATTATATCATGCTTATCTTATTTCTTGTATTTATAACATTTGCATTGTGTAATTTAACTATTAAATTAATTAGCTTCCATACACTTTGTTTGGGAGTATTTTGAATTACAAAGTTTTTAAAAGAAATTCATGATGTGCATCTTGGTCACCTCTCACTTTCATAGTATTTTCATCAACTTACAAGCTCTATTTACAAGTCTCAACAAAATCAAGATCATAAATTCAAGCTGCTTGACCTCCATAACCAAGTTAAAGTCCAAAATTCCAATTCAATGAATTAAATTAGTAATTTAAAATACTCAAATCAAATATGCACAAATTAACAAGTACAAATCAATAAACTAATTCAAAAAATATTAATTATGGGATTAGCTCTATCATATCTATAGAGAGTATAAGTCTCATTAGTTTGTCTTCATCATGTTAAAGCTATAAGTCCCATCATTAAGCATTCTTAGCATATAAACCCCAAAACTATCACTGAGTCGATACATTGCTCATTAAATCACACATTTAATACACAAATATAGGCTTCGTTTGGGACAACTTCCTTACTTTAGTACAATTTTTTTGAACTAGAAATTATTATATTAGAAAGCTGCTTTAGAAAGCAGCAAGAAAGCTATCCCAAATGAAGAGTATGTTTCAAATCAAGTTTCAACAAACAACCAAATTCCCAAACTTAAATACAAAAGTTAAATCATTTCGTATTGAAGCACAAAAAAGCTTGAAAATTAGCTCAAATTTGAGCGAAAAATGAACGGTGTTATTCAACTTGTAGCTTGATTATGTATGTGTGACCCAAAGACCTTAAATAGATTCTCCCACACACACACAAAAGAGAAAAAAAGAGCATGCTATTTAGGCCGAATTCAATTTGACCAATTATATCATAAATGCTCTTGCTGAACAAATTAAGTTTACAAATCAAACATTTTCCTGAATACATTGCTGTGATTGTTAAATGATGGCAAAAGCATGGGTAGCTTCAAATATATAAGCATCTAGTAGAAACTTATACAATTACTGAAATATCAAAGTTTACAGAATATATAAAAGCTTTGGAAATATAATTTTGTATGAATTTACATTTAGCTATCTAAAATTAACATCATTCTCCAAGTAAACCTTACAATGCTGTAGATATAAGAAGGTAATTTTTCTTCCTTTTTCACAAAATTTATGGTGTTTAGTCAGTCAACCTGGCAAGAAATGAACTGACCTATTTTGCGGATTCAGAGGAGAAATAACTTTGCTGTATCTTGCAAAATGCTTCATTATGGTTTCAGAGACTCCTAATCTGCATTGACAGTGTGGGACCAGTATTCCTTGACAAGTTCCCCAAAGAGAGACCCTTCAGTTTTCATTAATTTCATTGGAGTATCATACTCCACTAATTTACCTGAAACAAAAACAATTCAACCAATCAGTTGTATAGACTCTGTAAATGAATTTAAGGGATCTTGGATCTGATTCATACAATTAAGATTTAAATTTAATGGAATCAGTAGGAGATAGAGGTATCTTCAAGAAGGAATATGGTCAGGATATTCTGAAGAAATATTAGTGATGATTGATTTCAAAACAGCTAAATTTATTTCAAAATGAGCATATACATGAAAAGGTTGGAGTAGCCCCAGTGGAAGATAAGATTAGAGAGAGTCGCCTTAGATGGTTTGTTCACATTAAACGGAGGCCTTCCGATGACCCGGTTAAGAAAGTTGAGGTATTAGATTTGACTTATGTTAAGAAAAGTAGAGGTAGACCTAAAAAGACTTGGTTAGAAAATATTATAAATGATATTTCTTTATTAGATTTAAATGAGAATTTGACTTTTAATAGGACTCAATGGCGAAAAAGGATTCATGTAGCCGACCCCACATAGTGGGCCAAAGGCTTGATGTTGTTGTTGTTGTTGGAACACATGAGTAATTGTTTCACTATTTAGAGCATGGTAAATAAAATGATAATGATGAAGATGGCAAGCCATACTTGCAAGTAAATTACTGAAAAGAAGTGCCTTGTGATGCCAAGTTTGTAAAAGTTTGAAGAACATCACTTACCATCACTAATCCCAAGCACCTTGGTGCAGTCCATCACTGTTGGAATTCTGTGAGCAACAGTTATTACAGTGCAATCTATGAATTCTGTTCTAATTGTCTTTTGAAGAATAGCATCAGTAGTATTGTCTATTGATGCTGTAGCTTCATCAAGCACTAAAATACGACTTTTCCTTAAAAGGGCACGCCCCAAGCAAAACAATTGCCTCTGCCCCATGCTCCAGTTCGATCCATCTTCAACAACTGAACTCAGAAATTTGGTTGTATGAATAACTGTACTTCAAGAAGGAAATTGGAAAGATTAACAGGAACAAGAAATTGAAGTGTTAGGACCTTACCTAGAGAATCTAGACCTTGCTCTTTCTCTTGAACAACTTCTCGGAGCTGGCATTTTTCAAGGACCTTGGTGGCAAAGGAAATTTCTATAAATAACATTAAGTATGATAATACAAATAGGAACATTAATTGTAATTTTCAATTAAGACTCGCTAAAAAATTTATTAAAGCTAAGCCTTCTAAAAGAGAGTATTAACAATACGGATTTATAAGTTTTAAGAGTGATCAAGAAGGTTCCTTAAAGAACATCAAGATAATGGGATGAGCACAGACTGTTATGATTTAAAGATAAAAATATCCTCACATTTTAAGAAAAATTAAATTTGATTCAATTAATCTATTTTGGCATTAGTTTTATGATTGAATATCATCCAGATATAAATTCTGAATCTTTTCACTCAGAGTAGAGATTAAAAATGACTGTGTTAACGGTGCTGGGCTAAATAAACCGGTAAGGCTGATGAACTTTCCTTCCTACTTTCACAGTTTCAAGCTATGAGCACTAATTACAATATTTTATCATGCCTGAAAAAAATAAAAACATCTCTAGTTGGCGGGATTAGAAGTACGAGCAGTAATTGCACCTTTATCATTATCGCTGATTTTTATTTTCTAAATTTATTGGATCTGTTAATCTCTTGTATAATCTGTTTTCACAAAATATTTTACAAAAAAAGGCTATATTTCTTGCAAAAAGAAGAGGAGGTATATGAGATGTATTTCTATAGTTAAGAAGAGCAACCTGATTTGCCATCAGTAACGATGGATTTCTTAATTGTTATGATAATCAGTTAAGATGGATTTGCTAAAAAATAGTACCTCCCAAATTTCAAGATCTGAATGTTGCCCTAAAGGATCCAAATTATATCTCACAGATCCATGGAAGAGGGTAGGATCCTGAGGAATGATTCCAAACCGGGATCTCAAGTCATGTAACCCAATTGTGGCAATATTGAGGCCATCTATTATGATCTTTCCTCCTGAAGGCTCAATTAGACGAAACAGTGCACCTATAAGGGTTGTTTTCCCACTTCCAGTTCGTCCAACTATTCCAATCTTGTGTCCTCCTTCGAAGGTGCAACTGATTCCCTGAAGAACAAGAGGAGTATCTGGCCTATATCTTATCTGTTTAATAACACAACAGTCAATACTTTTCTAATGAAAGCAAAATAGAGCAAGATGCTATGAAACTAAACCTTCCCGGAGAGATAATGAACTAATAAATACCTTTAAATCTCTGAGTTCCACTTTGCCAATTACCGGCCAATTCGGTGGTGGCCGGTTGCCTCCAACAATTTCAGGGGCCTCACTTGATATATGCATGTACTGATTCAACCTTTCCACAGATATTATGTAATTTGCTAGTGTGCATTGATTTTCGACTGAGAAAACTAGGGACATATTTAATGAAAAGCCATAGGATAGAGCCATCCCCACCAATCCTGCATTAACATCAGAAATAACAGGTTTAGTTCATTTAGGTAGTGAATGCCGGAATCATATGAGGTGATGACTTAGTAAGATATCTTGGACTATTTTTATTCTCTTATAATTTATATGTTAAAATTATCAGGAAAAAAAGTATTTTAGGTATTCTGGGGGGAAAATTATTACTGTAGAAATATAACAACATCATTTCACAGTAATTAAGACCATATTATTATTATTATTTCAACCACTCTGGCAGTGGAATTGAACCCCTCACCTCCTATGAGGTGGGGGCAATGCCACATGAGCTAATGCCAGAGATATGACCACAGAAAAGTTCCCATGAAAGATTATTGAAAGAATAAAATTATGAACCACACTAGTTTAGAGGAAGCAGTGTTATATGATTAGGATTAGTAAAGCTAATCACAGAAAGTTGAAATTAATCCAATAATGACGAAGAAATTTATTATAGAGTTTTTTTTAGTGCAAAAGACGTACACATCAAACAATTTGACCAAATAGAATAAAAAAAAAGGAAAATTAATTGAGGCTGCTAGCAAATCAGCAAACAGGTTTCGAGTGCACCAGAGCTAAAAGTTCCTGGAGGAAGAAGAGCCATGACAAGGGCTGAAGTTGAAAGAACAGCAGCGCCCATGGTCTCTATACGTTGAATCAACCATTCACTTGCAGCAAAATTATGGAAGAATGGGCTGGCATTACTATCAATAAGCTCCAGATTCTTCGCAAAGAAACGATCTTCCTCCTGAAATGCTCTTATTGTTACTGCCCCAGAGACAGACTCAGACAAATGGTTGGCCACAAGAGACTTTGTAGTGCCATTGATCCTCATCAACTCTTTTGCAGAATTCAAGTAGTAGGCCTGTAGACAATAGAATCTACTATCATTTATTCACAAGCAATCGATTTCAAACGGAGTAGAATTTGGACAAACAAGATTTGGGAAGACGTGAGAAATGGATTTCTCGCCCCCACAAAGTGAAGACATTTTCAACATAGGCTTCGTTTGGGATGGCTTTCTCACTGCTTCTTAAAGTAGTTTTTTAGTATAAAAAATTAATTTTTGTACTAGAAAGCTGCTTTAAGAATCAATAAAAAAGCCATATCAAATGAAACCATAATCTCTTACTTGCATATCATAAAAGTTTAAGCATGATGTTGGCCCACCACTTTCACTTATCAAGCTCCTCTTATATAACATGGTATAAAATATAAAATAGATGGGGGTGCATTGTTCTTTTTAAATACCTGCAATCGGATGGTCAAATAGACCATAGGAATAGAGACAAATAAAACTTGCCATGTAATAAACGCCAATATGCCAAGGTTGCTATATGCATTTAATGTAGCGCTGATACTAAAGATCAAACTGAATGGCACGTCAAGGTCAACAATACTCAGATCAGAAGAAACCTGCAAAAGGAGGATAGTATGTAGGAATGTGTAACTAGAGGTCACATAATTTTAGACGAGATATTTACCCGACTCAATATCCTTCCGAGAGGAGTGGAGTCAAAAAATGACATTGGTGCACGGAACAAGCAATTAAGCAGCTGAGAGAATAATGATTTTGATGACTGAAGGCCAAGAACAACTACAAATACTGATCTAGATAATAAAAAGATGGCAGTACTACACCCTATCGCCAGGTATACTGTGATCAATCTCAATGTGCTCACTTGCGGGTTCTGAACATTTGCCGCCATCCAAGAGTTTTGAGAAATTTGGCCTGATATAAAAATTATATGAGAAAGAGCTGCTAGTGAGGAGTACAAGAAACCCTTGTTCTGGTTTAGGTATTGCAAGTAAGGCTTTAGACCAGTATCTCCAGACTCTTTCTCCTCTTTCTTAATCAGTTGATCTTCTCCTGAAGATTTTGTTATTTTCTGTTGATTATTGATGCAAGTGTCATGGATCTCCCTTGCACGCATGCAGGTTTTATGCGAGACAAGCTTCTCAAGACTTTCAGGATCGGCGGTGTCTTTGTGTGCATTGACCAGGTCCTGAAATTCTTTGCTTGAGACCATCAGTTCATGGTAAGGAGCAGATCGGAGGACCTCTCCTTCTGACATCAACTGCAAGGGCAAGGAGACTTTTCAAATCATGTTCTCAGAATAGCAATTAGTTGCACTGCATTAGATCAGCCCAACAAGTCATGTTTAATTAAGAGATTGAATCAAGCTTGATTTATCTCCTGAAAAAAATTCTCAAAATTAATCTAGAAATGCAAAGTAATCTATTACAGTAACAATGATTGAAATCAGAATCAATTAGATAATGTTAAGCAAGGTGATAATAGGTTTACCGAAGGATTGTGCATGACGATGAATTAAGAGATGATGAAGTCAGAAAAAGACAATGCACTAGAAAACAGTTAAAAAAGGAAGCAATACAGAAAATAGAGTACAGACCAAAATAGAGTCAAATGCTGGAAGGAAATCCACTTGGTGAGTAACTAATAGGACAGTTTTTGAAGAGAGAGCTCCTGTAACATAATCCTGCATGCAATTAAACATGAACTTCAGTAACAAATTAGAAGCTGAATCAAACACAGGACTGCATGCATAGGAGACTAGTAGTTACATTAAACAAGCTAGTGGCAGTATGGGCATCAACTGCGCTAAAAGGATCATCTAGAAGATAGATTTCAGCATCTTGGTACAATGCACGGGCGAGCTGAACGCGTTGCTTTTGACCACCACTGAGATTTACCCCTCGTTCTCCTACTACTGTAAGATCACCAAAGGGCAACACGTCAAGGTCCTTCACCAAGGAACACCTTTCTAAGGCCTCTTGGTATTTCTGCTTGTTCATTGCAGAACCAAATAGAATATTCTCTTGTACAGTTCCAGTCTGAATCCATGCATTTTGAGAAACATATGCAATCTTTCCAAAGACTTGAATCTGCAGTCACAAAAACAAACATTTTTTCATAAAAAAGTTTTCACTTGCAAATGGAAAAATAAACTGAAGTTCGAGGAAACAAGTTCAAATAAGCCTATAGCTTATTCACACAGAAATCCAAGGTTATAGAAAAAAGTGGTTATTAACTATTTATGTGCAATTGAAAAAATAATCAATTCCTAAAAGAATACTAAGCAATCCAAAATCAACTGACTATTGAATATTATCAGATGTCATTCTTTACTAGGCGTTTAGATCTTTTTTCATAATGTAGCTTGGCCTAATCTTTAAGTATTATGGATGATAGCAAGGTCGCTTACAGTTTATGCTAAGAAAAAAAAAAGAGAATGGCAGCTCTATCATGTTATTCGTTATGAAAAGAAGGAAAAAAGTTTGTTGGAGGATATCCAATCATCCCCACTAGCTTTAGACTTCAATTTCAAATAATCAAATTGAACAACTGGGTGAGAAAAAATGCTTTACCATGCCTTCTGTGTTTGGTACCTCTCCCAGAATTGCTGCCAATAAAGTTGATTTTCCCGACCCAACTTCACCACATATTGCAATTTTTTCTCCTGGCTTAAGCTCTAAGTTTATATTCCTGAGTGTAAGTTTTGAAGGATTGCCATCCCAAGAAAAGCTTGCTGACTTGATTACGATCGGATGTTCTACATTTCCGCTGCAACTCTTTCTAATATTACCACTCTGAAGCTCTTCTGAATCAAGAAACTTAACAATTCTGCCAAATGCAACCTTTGCTTGAATAAAAGCTCCAATAACATCAGGAATTGATCTAACTGGGTCTTGAACAAGACGAAGTGTTGCTACAAAGGTGAAGACATTGCTTGGATAAAGAGGAATCTCCATAAGATAACAAGTTAAGAACGTTGCAGCAGAAACAACCACGGGAGATGACCAGAAAAGAAAGCTGTTGTATGCTCTTTGTAACTGAAATGCTGACAGCCACTTGCATTCTTCTTCTCTCAAGACTTCTATCACTTTTTTGAAATGAGTTTCCCAAGCATAAAGCTTCAGAACCTTCATATTCACTAGAGCTTCTGACATAGCCTTCAGCCTCTCATCTTGAGCCTCCATAAGTCTTGTCTGGAATTTATGCTGAAGCTTAGCCACAGGAGCATTGCATAGAACTGTGAGTACAATCACAACCATGGATGATATTGTTGCGAGGCCTACAGCATGATACAAAATCACCAAAGCAATGCAGAGTTGCAGGCATGTAGTCCATGTCTGATGAAACCAGACTGGAAATTCCCCTATCCTATATGCATCAACTGTAACATAATTCATGATCTCCCCAGATGAATGTATCAGCTTGGCCAAGCTTGATAGCCTTAGCTGCTTCTGATACACAGCTGCTGAAAGCAAAGATCTGATTTGTAGACCCAGCATTCTGGTCCGAAAATGCCACTGCCTCTGAGATAAGGACTCCAAAAATTTCACCAAGAACATTCCCAAAGCCAAAACATAACCTTCATATTTGAAAGTTCCCATTCCTACTGACACTTTTATAAAGGCATTCAAAAGCATTGGACCGGCAGATAGGGTCAGTACCTTTAGCAATGCAAAGAGACCAGAAACTAAAATTTCTTTTTTATGACAAGAAACTATTGCTCTGAAGAAAGATGGTGAGGTGGTGTGACTACTCTGGAGTTGCCTGCTAAGTTGCTCAAGAAACATGAAGTATCGGCATTCTGCTCGATCCATCTCACCCATATGAGGTATATCTTTCTCATCCAAGGGCTTCTCACAGCCCTTCTTCATCAAAGAGTTTAACCACCAGAACGAAATTCTACTGACAAATCCAGCATTTGAAAAAGGAGTCACAAACATATCTGAAGAGTTTGATTTTGTATAAGAATCATTGCTAAGAGGCGCATAAAGAGAGCCAGCAAGAGTGTCATAATCTTCTAGGGATCCCTTGAAGGCACAAAGAAGTAACATTATAGCTCCTGGTAAGGTGAGCAGATCTAGAACAATCCTAACTGATATTACTCTCGCCAGAAGGATGCCCAAAACAGAAGAAATGCAGAGAAATGCTGCAAAGACACTTGCAACTCCAGACCAAACCTTGATAAACGCCTCTCCAAGCTGTTTGGCTCTGATGCTCGCCACAAAACTGATAAGAATCCAGGAAAAGCCTTGAGAAAACACAACCAGCCACACATGTAAAGGGAAGAAACCATCTCCCCTCCCTAATTTCTCTTCCAACATCCATAGGCCAAGGCCCAGATAAGCAAATCCCAAACAGCCATTGAAGATGATGGAAGATATTTTCAAAGGACTTGATAGCTGAAAAAGTGTTTGCATTGAAATCATGGCAGATTTGCGGGCAAAGTTCATAAGAAAGGCAAAGAACAGCAGCACAGTGATGGAGATGACCAAGAAGTGGTTCACACAAGTATTCGAGTAAAGTATGCCCTCAAGACCACAAGCTTTTCCATAAGAAGAACAAAAGGAACCACCACAAAAGGCCATCATAGAACCTTAAGATTCAAAACGTTAAAGTAATATAATAAGATTACATTTTAACTACAAAAGTCATCAAAAGGAAGTAAATCATGTATAAGATGATGGAATCAAACTTACGAGTGAGATAATCCATTATGAGGGGAGTTCAATCTCTGTGAAGTTCTTTTATATAGGCTTATCACACCTGTGTTTAAACGAAGAAAAAATATCTGCATTAGCAAAGAGACTAATTTTCCAACATAACCTTACAAATTATGAGATATGCTTGAAGCCTTGAAAATTGCAATAATTATGGGAGTAAATTCTTTCTTTAAGTAAATGCTGTTTTGTAACAACCTTGGGTTTTCCAAGTCTATCATTACGTTATTATAGTTGATCAATGTAGAACTTGACTTCTTTGCTTTTTCTTTTTCTTCTAGCAACCCTTCTAAAGTAACAAGGCACCAGAGGACGTCACAAATCAATACCTTAACGTTATATTGTGATTATTATGCCAGCACCTGATTGTTCCCTCTTCCTAAATGATCCACACCAAAGCACATTAAAATTAACTTCAATTTCAGTGATTGCATAAGAAAATAAAAGATGCAATTTTTTGGCACATCTGCGACAGATGTCATAAACACTAGCCACAAAAAAATAAAAAAAACTCATAGATCTTAAATTCTGTTTGCACTAAGAAGTTTTTTTTTTTTTTTGTTAAGGCTAGTGAGAATGAAACACACATAAAAAATGAAAAGGGTATTATTACTTGAGCCCATTAACGAATTAACTTTTAGCATAGTTATCTAACAGCCATTAATTTTATAAAAATAATAACAATTCTATCTTAGATAACATTATCTTATTGCAACTTCTTCCAATAATAATGATTATCATGATTTGGATAGCTATAGAGGAATTTTTTTGGTTTGACATGGGGTGTGCCTATCATGATATATAATTCAAGTTGAAAACCACTCACGCTCCTTTGTTCAAAGTGGATGACACATGTGGGTATTTTTCATTTCATTCTTGCGACATATTTTTGTGTTGTGGATACATAAGTCATTATGGTTATTATTATTTTATGCATATAATTAGATTCCCTCTCCATGTAAAGGGATGCTAAGTTCTGTTGAGGACACATGAAAGCTAAATTGAATTGATCTTTCATGCAATCCTCTCCTCCTCTACTCCCCTCCTAGCTTGGACCCAAAGCCTTAAGCTTTCACTCTCTAGTCCATTCATTTGAGCTAAATGATTATTTGCGTTGTGAACATGCAAGTCGTTATGGTTATTGACTTATTGTTATTTAGGCATGTATTTAGAATTCCTCCCTATATGATAGAAATGTTGTGTATTATTAATGATGCACTTGAATACTAAATTGAATCACTCTTACATGTAATCCTATCCTCCTTTGGCTTGAATGCAAGCCTCTTCCCTTTCTGACCGTCTCTCAGTTCTCCAAGTTCATCCCTCTCAGATCAACCTTTCCACCCAAAACTTCCCCTTCCCCCATCTCTTGGTCTACAAATCCTCTTAATGATAGTTGTTTGAACCGAACTTATGTTCAACATCAATGACAAGATTCATTAAATATTCCCTTGCTTTACTAAGAGTTTGTATGTAGGAAATATTTGAATTTTTTTTTATTATGTTTATTTTATGACTTACTATATTTTTATTCAGGTGTATTTTTTATCATGTGTTTTTTTCTTTTACTTTATTTGCTAGTAATCCAACTATCCTTTCATTATAGAAAAATGCTCTTAGGACTAGATAGAGATATTGAATGATTTGACTGAATGAAATACAGAAGTTACATATCTCCTTCTCTCTCTCATGGTATTTCTTTCTCCCATCTTAATTGTCATTAAGTGGTATCAAAGGGAATGATTTCATCGATTAGATCACAACATCCAACCCACATTGGTCGAACGTTCCTTACTACTCTCATGTTGATGCACTTCTTTTCCAGTGACCATGCAAGCCATCCCAGAGCCATCTTTCCTGTGTGACTAACAAACAAGATATCAATATTATCAATGTCCGTGCATGCTAGCATCCTTAGCCAACATCCTTTTGTTTACTTTATTTGTTTGGTAGATGAAAGTTTCTATTTATTTAGGAAAGATGTTGCTAGAATAATAAGTTGGTGCCAAACATGTGAAATAGGTGAAGTTGAGCAAACTCTAAGTCTGTATACTTTCTTATCACTATAGAATGTATGAAAAGACGTCAGAATGGATTTCATTTTAAGATTATCAAAATTGGCTATGAACATGATCTCATATTAATGGTGGTCTATATGTTGTTTAACATAAGAAATTTTATTTATTATTTTAGAACTGATGATACCTCTCATGTGGTAAAATCATTTTTTAAGTAAATTTTTTGCCTAAATGGTCTCCCATATTCTATTGAATTTGGCAGGAGTGTAAAAATATAAGATTTCTTAGATATTTTTGAAACATGATACAAAATTTTTCAAACAAAACAAAAATTCATGTTAACCATTTACCCTCAGACATATAGATAAACACAAGTTGTGAATAGGCATATATGAATTTGTTGAGTTGCCTTTTTGGAAATAACCTAGGAAATTAGAATTTATTATTACCTACCATTGAATTTTCTTACAACAACTTTGCTAGCTCTGCCATTGGAAAAACACCCTTTGGAATGGTACATAGGTCACAATTTATGAATCATATAAATCTCATATGATTATTCATGCCTTCATATTTTGATTTTATTGCACCATTTGTTCAGTGTGTGCTATGTATTTAGATATCAAAATATAAATTTCTTTGCATAATGAAAAGCGTACAACTATGAATAATATTCATAGGAAATAATGAGTATATAATAAAGGTGATTGTGCTAGTTCGTATTATGCCTAAACACTTCCTGCATGTTCAAAACTCCATGCTCAAGCATCATCCCCTACAAAGTACTTAGAAAGCTTAAACTAAAGGCATGCATTATCAGTTTACATGTTAACACGAATATCAACCCTACTTTCAAAATTGAGGAGTTAATACCATATAGATGTGCTATTAAACCAATAAAGTTTCAAATATGCATCTCTACGAAGGGAATTTCTGCATCCCAACCAGCATGCATTTAAGTTTTGCCACCAAACCTTATTCAATTCCCCCACTAGCAACACTAATTCTACTTTTGCCACCAACCAACCTCTTTTTTTTTTTTTTTGCAACCTCAATCCCAACTGTTGAGTAGACTTTGTCATATAAGGTTATGTTTGGTTCTTCAAACAAAAAAGCATTGTTTTGTCTAATGGATAGGCCCTCCGTGAATTGATGACTCATTTGTGACTTATAATAACCTCCAATGCATCACCCTCAACCTTCTAGGTGTGTACCTTTAGTATAAGTCTTCAAACGAGAGGTCTTCAAACTCTAGCAGAGTTGATGATGGTCATCTAATCCGAACAAACATTTAACATAATGACACAAATAAGTAAATATTTCCTCACTTCTATTTAGAGTTTTGTTTAGGGAATATTTGCATTTTATTCCATTAGGTTTATTTCATGTCATATTATATTTTATTAGATTTATTATTGATCATATGTTTCATTACTTTATTTTTTGCAACCTAAGTGCTCGTTTATTATAAATAAGTACTTATAGGACTAGGTTGATATATTGAATGATTTGGATTAATGAAATATTAAAGTTTTATTTTCCTCATCTTTCCCTCTTCTCATATCTCTTTATTTTGTCTATCTAAAACAAATAAAAAAATAAAAATAAATAAAAATATTTGTATATCTATCATTATCTATCCCCTCTTGATACCCCACAACCAAAAGCAAAACAAGAAGATTTTTTATTCTGTTGCTCCATCAATTTGAAGTTGTTAAAGGTATTTATGCTAGTAAACTTATATTTCTCATTGCACCTTAACATACTTCATACCCAAAGTCTATTTTATCTTTTCCCTTATGTAATTAAAAAACTACATGTTGAGGCTATAAAGCATATTGCTAATATTCGCATAGTATAGGGAATAATTAAAAAAAGCTCAAAATAATTCCCTGATTATTAATAAATGCCCGATTTAGTTTTAGACCTTTACAATGACCCAATTTAGTCCTTGGACTGTTAGAGAATATCTCAATTTAATCCTCATGTCGAAAGTAACAGTTAAAATTAAACCCAATAGTTAAATGTGAGGGTATTTTGAGTATTAGAGTGTATATAAGATCATATTATTATTTTATATATTTTATCATTTATCATATTAAAATAAATATAAAAATCATAAAGAAAGTTAGCCAACTAAATAATAAGAGTGAATAATTAATAAATGTGGTTACCTTCTATTATGATTTTTTATATTTATTTTAATATAATCAATTATAAAATAAATAAAAATAATAATATAATCTCACATATACCCTAATATTTAACTATTAGACTTAACTTTAACTATTACTTTTGACAGTGAGATCAAATTAGTACATTTCTAATAGTTAAGGCACTTCATTGGGTCATTATGAAAGTCATGGACTAAATTGGGTATTTACTAATAGTTCGAGAACTTTTAGGCTTTTACTCTATAGGGAAGTATAGCAAAGGAAACTAAAAAAAAAAAATTATAACAAAGGAAACTATGTTCCTATTCATAGCTGTCCTAAATGATTTCCTATAGATTCCTTCAAACCGTATGCTTCTATTCATAACTATTAAAAATTTATTTTACTTATATGGAAAGGTTTACTGGAATTTGAAGATTGAGTGAAATATAGTTCAAAAAAGCATTCAAATTCATTTTATATATGTTTTTAGGCTTTATTTTTCGATGAAAAATGTATCCCTATTTTCATTTTTTTTTAATTATTTTTTCTATAATTTTAACTATTTCTATAATTTTCATTTTAGTCTTATTTTTTGTATCTACAAGCATTGAAAATAGAAAATTTGTGGGACATACAGCCCACCTCATGACACTTAAAATGCCTCGCTATACCTCTTTGCTTTATAAAATACTGTTCCTAGCAAGAATACCTCTATAAACAGTATCTCATTGTTGAAGGCCCAAAGAGAACTACCTAAAAATCATAAATGAGCATCTACAAAATTTAAATGAACAATAAGAAAGAAAGAAAAGGGAAAAAGCGTCTGATGGCCCAATGAAAATTCACAACATAACTACTAATTCTTCTTTCTGTACCAACTGGCTTATTCTTCTCTCTAAAAACTTTTTTGTTCGTTAAAAAATAATGAAAAATCCAGAATAGAAGTCTCTTTTTTTTCAGCAAGATCAATCGAAGAAGGTGATCTAAATTAAATGCATTAGAATTTAGAAGTTTCGACTTCTAACTCTTGATCTAAAATATATAAGCGAAAGCGACACACAAACCTGCCATAAAACAAGCAATTCATCCTCTGCCTTAAGCATTAACATCCCATATTACAACTAACATTATCTTCCTGGATTACGGCAAATTTTCCCCAGCCTTTTCTATAACCAACTCCACCCACTAGGCCACTACTAAGCACATCAGGAAAGCATAGATTATCAAAAATCAGACGGAATGAGTTTCGGTCGCTCACCTTGCCACTGAATACAGCTGATCCAATACTTTCAAAGAATACAGCTGATCCAATACGAAGATGCCCCACAAGAGAAAGAAACGAAACGATCGACCGAGTAAATAGATAAGAAGAACAGCGCGTATTCCCGGAAATCGCAGCAAAGATGAGGACAATCGACCTGATAGAACAGCCGAGTCACGGAAAATGGAAGATCGGCCAAGATAGTACGGTAAAGAACGAAAACTGCGTTCCTCATGGCGGTAAATTTGCTCCGCAGCGGTGACTCTTTCCCTCCTTCCTTCATCCTTCCGCAAAAGAACCCTAGCCATCATGGAAGGGAGGTTAGCACACCGCGCCTTCGAGGAGCTCACCTTCTTCCTCCTCATTCCGGACGTGCAGTAGCTTTCGGCGCGACTGAACCTATGTGGAAAGCGCCTGCTAAGAACGCGAAAAACCTGCGGCCGTGGCCAGCATGTAGCCGTCCGTATCGCGAATCCATTTGACCGTTGATTCAAAATTCGAAACTCATGAACGTTTTTTAACTTAGGGCAACGACTCCGTGTTGGGTTGGACCGGTCAGGCCCACCCAAAGAAGAATTATTAGATTACGAAGATTTTGTACTTTCACAATTGTAAGTTTTTTTTAAGGTTATAAAAATTAGATCGGATAATTGAAAGAAGAAAATGTTCACGATTGGATTAGTCGAATCGGGGTCTAATAAGATGACTTAAAAAATAATAATATGATTAAAAATTAATAAAATTTATATGATATAATATAAATATATGAGCATTTGATAATATTTATAAAATTTTAAAAATATATAATAAAAATGTATAAAATTGTCTTTAAGCATTTATATACTATGAAGTATACAATTTTTACTACATTATGTGAGATATTTGAAATAACATTCATGTATTATCATGTTATTTATCATCATATTCAATAAAAATATTTTAAAAGAAAAAAAAAATTAATAAACTAAAATATTTTGTTCAAAATTCAATTAAAATGAAATTAATTTTTTTTTTATAGAACCGGTCGGTTCTTTCCAACTCGGGCAAGCTCATCGGTTCACTGGCAGTTTTGCAGTTCACCGATTGAACCGCCGGTTCAATCCACAACTGCTGGTTCAATCCGATTCGATGCAAAGCCAGTTTTGTAAGCTGTATCCGACCGACAACCCAATCGGTTCACAGTTGAACTAGTTAAACCAGTCGGTCTGATCTGGTTTTCAAAACATTAGTTTTTCCTTAAAAATAATAATATTGAAATAAATATATTTTTGTAGGCTTAGGAAGGATTGAATCTAAAGATTTATTGAAGCAGTTTGATTTCATATTTATTTTCTCAAATATAATATTATATTTACCTTTATTTATGTTTTCTTGATGTGAGAAATAAAGATGTTATAATGGTGATCAATTTCAGTGGTTTTAGTAGCTTTCAATCTTGGCCCTAAGAGTGTTCTTGATGTAGATCCTTTTTCTCAATGTGATATGAGTAAAATTAGAACCAATCCTTTAGATTGTGAATTATGACCATATTTATATTTAAGTGTATTTTATTTTATTCTAAAAAAGATTAAAATAAAATGTTTACATGTTATAAATTACATAGTAATTAAGGAGATGTCTCAAAAGCCTAATAAGTATTAATCTTTGATTTGATCATAATTTTAGTAGGCTTAAAAGTAAGAAAAGGCCTAGGGTATAATCAATATTTATATATGAGTTCACATTAGAATTTTTTTAACAATCTTACATTTGCGCCACATATATTATTTGGCAAATATATATTATTAATTTTAAGAGGTCAATATTTGTTCTTTGAGGAGTGATATTTCTAAACAATATGGTCTATTAATAAAATCAAATATAGGATCAAAGTGATCTTTATCACAACTCAATTATCGCTATATTAATATAATTAATAACATAAATCAAACATGGATGTATTGCATGAAAATTTTATGTAATTCGATCTCATAATATGTCTATTTCCACTTGTTCTATTTGATAACTCAAAAGTCATCAACACAATTTAAAATTCCTTATGTACAAATGTAATTAAAATAACATTACTCTAGATTTTTTTTCACAAGAGATAATAATGTGTGTCTCTTATGAATGCCACACACACACACATATATTAATAAATCAATAATAGAGTTAATAATAAACCCTTACAATAATATGAATAATACCTCAATAAAAGTTATTTAAGTAGCATACTAAATAAGTAAGCATTCTGACTATCATGATGTTTTTCAGTATTATATCAGTGTTAGTAAATCATTGGCTCAATAAACAAAGTCATCAAATATTGCTTAAAGTAACATTCTGAAGCTTTAGTTGAACTAAATATATCTTTTTAGATATTAAAATAAATTTTTTAGTAATCTAAAACTGCTATCTTTTCTAAATCACCTGGTGAAAATTCTTAAATAAATACTCAAAATATTCATAATCTTAATCTATATAATATATAAAAAGTTACACGGTGAAAGTTTTACCAATACAAAATTATTCTCATTTATGGGTAACGAAAATAAAAATTTTATCAAAAAATTAAAAAAAATACAAAATCTTTGAAATAAAAAATATGATAAAGGTTCCTTATATCTTGGCAAGCAAATCTCCCAACAGGCTCGTTTGACGAAAATTGCTCTACTACCTCCAAAACTAGGTTTCTCCTTTCTCTTTCTTCTCTTTTCTCTCTTATTTTTTTTTCAATTCTCTATTTTGGCCAAACAATGGGGGAAGAGAGGGATTAATGGCATAAAATATTTTAATATAATATAATAATATAATTTAATTAATTTTCATCATAAAATTCATATAATATATTTTATGCTTTAAAAATATTTAGAAAAATATTTAAAAAATATATCATTTTATTTAGAAAATATTGATGAAATCAGTATGTAAAATAGACACCTGATGGACTTGAAATCCTTGTACCGACATGTGCCAATTTCTTAAGGATTTTCACTTGTGCCCAAAAATTACAAAAAAACATCATGCAAGTAAAATACAATAGTAAAAATGTTATGGAGAAGTCTGTTTATAATTTGGACTTATAATGACTCCAAAAAAAATAATATTTACCTTGGTTAAAATATGGGCTATTACAATACACCTATCTTAAAAAAATATCGTCCCCGACATTTCCCCTAAGGATTCAGGCACAAAATCAATATAAACCAAATTAATACAATAAAAATCTCAAATCAAATCAAGATTAAATAAAAAATCATAAATTTTTTTACAATTGTGTAGTTCATTCTATCACATGTCATGCAATTAAACATGATATGCTTTGTCATTCAATCATTTAAAATAATTTCTTACGAGTAGAACTCTCAAGTTATTGTCTGTCTTCCAGATATTATAAATTGTACACATATGTCATCACTAAAGTAGGTGCAATCGATCATAGTATAATAATCTCCCTATGTCTGCCACTGATAGCTCTGTTATTTGCCTTATTTATTAATCTTTTATTGTATAATCTTGACCCAACAGTCCTTTTTCTTGTATCATGTCTAGTTTGTCCTACACCAAAATTAGTTCTTACTATAAGTCTCCTTTGAGGATAGTTTACTACCTTATGTCCCTGTTATTCACAGCGAAAACATTGCCTCATCAACAAGTATCACTAACCCATATATTGTTGACCATAATAAATACACTCGCCGCAGCTTCCAGAAGATGCTGCTTATATAGATCCCCTCTAATCACTATACCTACTTTTCTTGTCACTCTGTTTCTCTACTTGGTTCATCTATACTCCTCATGCTAACTTCATATTTGGATACCATCTCATATCTAGAAGATGGTGCTTCTAAATCAATCTCTATTAGTCTAGCTCTCTCTACCAACTCAGAAAACACTTGAATTCGTAAAGGTACTAGTAGATATCAGAGCTCCCTATTCAACCCTTGTAGAAACCTGTAACACTTTTCTTCAGTAGCAGAGAACAAATGAGGAGCATACCTAGTAAGAACAATAAACTCAGCCTCATACTACTCATTATCTTATATCCTTGCTCCAACTTAATGAAAGCTTCCTACATCTATCATCAAGCATCTATCATCAAGCTGATGGAGGTACAAACTATATCTTGAATACTAAAGTAAACTTGTCCCAAGTGATCTCGGCATTAGTCTTTTATTAAAATTTCTCTTTCTAATATCCAATCCACCATGCCGATATTTCTCCTTCAAATAAGAATACAACTAATGCTACCTTTCATCTCTTTAGACACTACTTGCTGTCAAAATTTTTCTCTATCCTTAGTAACCAATTTTTTGCTGCCTGAGGTCCTATAAATTCTTTGAACAACATAGGGTTCAACTTATGGAATGTCTGTAAATTCTTGTCTCCCTCTTCTTCTTTACTGCCACCTAATTTACTCTGTGCATCCCCCATTACCTGAATTATAACAATAGCCAACTACATCATACTTTTTGATGAAACTGGAGCTAAACTATGTTGCTCATTTGGTATATTTGACTATGGATGATCCATTCAATTTTTCATTTGCATAATTTAGTATGATTTGAATAATACACACTTGAAACTATTTATACAAAATAATACACCTTAAATTACCCATTCTACCCAACTTTCAATCAAATCCTATAGCTCTGGTAACAATTAATTCTTACAACAATTATGCTTTAATACTAATTGTGATGCCCCATAATCTAATTTGAAAGAATTATTCATTTATCTTCTATTAAATAATAACTAGAGCTATTTAATTCAATCTATCAATAATAAATAATAAAATAGATTTTATAATTTAAAACATTAATATACTCATACATATTCATTCCTAAAAATTATATATAATACTCATGATCTATACAATCATTTTATAAATATATATCTTATCGTGAATACAAAAGAATAAATAAAACAAAAAGAACTTAAACCTGAAGGAATACTGAACAGCCTCACACTCTTGGTCCTCTTTTCTGACCTGAAATCATTTAACCACATATAATGAGCTAAAAATTCCAGTAGATCACCAAAACTTATAATTGAATTCAAAGCATGATAAATGAGCAATATGCTTATGAGGGATCAAATTATAGCTGTAACATTCATATGATTATTGAATCAATGTAAAAATAGTAAAATTAATAAGCAGCAGTAGAATAATATATAAATTGTAAAACATTACAATATAGAAGCTAGTAAAGCAATAAATAAGTATGAGTGTCAAATCTATAAAATAATTGTCATATCCATAATACCAATCAATATAGAAATCGAATAAAGCATCAAATCCAAACATCAGTAAAGACTATTGAAATCAAATCAATATAGTTAAATCATATAGGAATGTATAATGCAATCTGATTATTCTATATTAGTATTAAATTAA